GAAACAGTGATACATTTTTTTCATGATTCTTTGATGAATAGAAAGTTCAAAAGAACAGCATTTATTTGAAATAGGAATATTTTACTGTCACTTTTGATTTTGAAAATTAAATAATGCCACAATTTTTTTTTTAACTGTAACGTTTGATGCTCTATTTTGTCAGGATTTGCAACGATGTGGACAGGGTTGGAGGTTGCAGCAAAGAACATTGCAAAGAGTGTTGCTGCAGAGACGGTTACCACGGTAAAACATAAGTAAGTAACTACACAAGGATCTTATTCCACCTGCTTTAAAGTTCATCATACCAGTGTTTTAACTGCATTTGCAGTTTCTCACCAGTAACTTTGATCAGAAAAATAAACTGCACTCACGCTAGTTTCTTTCCCGTATATTTGTTTGCAGATTTAGGGGTCTGGAGAACATTTCAGACACCCCAAATGAAAACAAGTAGAAACATTTTCCCTGCACCCTGTAAAATGGCTGTAATTAGTCACGAGCATGGCTAAAGCTCATCTTGGTCTGAATCAGTCAGCGTTTGCACGCATTGCTAATGATTTATAGGACATAATGATTAAATCACTTCCGTTAGCATCTTGTGTTGCTGTGTGCAATGATCCACAGCTCAGTGATGGAATGAATATGTGTTCCTAACAGCCAAAAATAATCAATCTCATTGTCTTTATTGCCTTATTTTTCTTAACTTTTGAACCTTTTAAGCCTGACTTTAATTATACTGTTGCATCAACAGAAGGTTTTTCCAGGTTTTATCGGATGGCAAACATAATTATCATCATTGTAATATGACCAAGATGCATAGTATTTATGCTACCGTTCAAAAGTTTGGGGTCAATAAGATTAAAAAAAAAAAAAATCAGGAAGGAAGCATTAAATTGATCAAAAGTGAAAGTAGAGACCTTTATAAATATTTTTATTTGAAATAAATGCTGTTCTTTTGAACTTAATATTCATCAAAGAATCCTGAAAAAATGTACCGCAGTTTCCACAAAAAAATATTAATCAGCACAACTGTTTTCAGCATTGATAATAAGTTATGTTTCTTACCAGCATATTAGAATAATTTCTGAAGGACCATAAGACTGGAGTAATGGCTGCTGAAAATCGGCTTTGCCATCACAGGAATAAATTACATTTTAAAATGTATTATAATAGAAAACAGCTATTTTAAATTGTAAAAGTATTTCACAATATTATTGTATTTTTACTGTATTTTGAATCAAATGAATGCAGTTTAGGTGAATATAAGAGACCTCTTTCAAAAACATAAATATCTGACCTCAAACTTTTGAATGATAGTGTAAATTCTTTTGTATTGTACAATTCATTAAAATGAAGGTTTACAATTTAATGTTTAAATCCTTCCAATAATTATCCAATATTTAAAAGTGGAAAATAATGGTGATTTCCATTGATATAGCTCATAATATCATAATGTTTTTTAATTCTACATTTTTTTACAACCATTCTTCCCTTTCTAACTGTGCTTAATATTGGCCATTTTGAATTCAACTTTTGCACATCACAAAAATATTTTTTTCTATGGCATCTTTAGGATTAATTTAACATTTTAAATCAAGTTCAGATTTTTCTCTGAAGAAATGACTGAATCCCTGCATGTATGTTTAACTGCTTTGCTCTGCTCCGAAAATTGTACATGTCCTTAACCTTCCATTCCATTACCTCTTTCATCATCTGGGTTATCTATAATTAAGATATGGGGCGGAAGCGGGCCAGGCCACAGATCACGCTGTCAACTCAGCCATCAATGTGGGCATCACCGCATTCAATATCGACAACCTGGGGATCAAGGCAATGGTCAAGAAGACTGGCAAAGAGACTGCCCATGCCATCCTGGCAGACTATAAAGTCCAAGAGCCGAGCAGTCAAGTTGAGAAACATAAAGACCAAAAGTAGAGTTTAGATTCAGACCTCTCGTTTCAGGTGTCCATTTTTAAGAGCAAACCAAATGACTGATGAAGTGGACTGATCCTTGTCCGATTTTTCAATGAATGCTTTTGTTGTTATTTGTGACTGACACTGAAAGACGTTCCTACAGTTAATACAGTTAGTTGTGCCGTCATTGTTGCTATTTTCACTGTGTCACAGGGGAATTGGTAAATGCACTTTAAAAATTCCCTTTACAAGCTGACTGACAGCCCTGCTGGACAGTATTCCTGATCTTGCCTTACACTTCACCAGCAAGTTACTCAACATATCACCAATTTTACTCAAAATAAATCTTTAGTTTTGCATGGTTTGTGTCTTTCAAATGGACCCTTGAAACAAAGTACAAGCCAAAGGAGGACTTAACGGTTATCCCATAGAGCCTTAACAAAT